TAATGATACAGTTTTGGAAGAAATTTTTATCGAAGAGTTTACTTCTTACTATTGTAGTATGTTTATTTGTTGGGTCAAACTCATTGAATATCATGTACAGATTTTACAAAATTCTCTTAAAAATATTCACGCAGACATCAACTCACTTGATATGCTGTTATTGCCACATCATATCGATCCACTTCAAAATCCTCGTTACCATAGTACTTCACCTGATAAAATTCAATACAAATATTGAAGAAAATATGTTGGTACTTTAAAAGACAATTTATATATTTTTTAATAATAATAAAATATTAATAATATAATAAAAATATTATATAATATAATTAATATAATATTAAAAATATTTAAAATGGGCCAATTTCTAATAAATGATCAAATGTACAGAAAGCTTGCATAGTACAGATATTCTAAAAGAATGAGACCAATAATAATAAAGTAACCTAATAAACAATGACATAATGGAGAAAATAATAAACATACCCACAAGGGTGATCATGAAAAAAATAAATGGTGCTTAGTTTTAACAAACCATGCTTGGTATGCAAATTGTTTGAGAGAAACACATGAAAAAAAATCAGGGAGGCATCAGAATAGCTCAATTGGTTAAAGTAGCAATACTAATAATAGCCACTAGGGGTGGATTTAGGGAGGGGGAACCTGTCTCTTATACCCCTTACGGAGAAGCGATTAACATCCTTGGTCTGCAACGTCTCTCGGACCGATTGATGGGGATGAGCAGGAGATACTTCTCAAAACTAAAATCTGGGGAGCACCGGCTGAATCACCTCCTTCCTCCATCAGTTCAACATAAATACAACCTCAGACATAGCAAATCATTCTCCACACCATTCACTCGCACAAACAGAACTGCTAATTTTATCATCAACTATGGATTATCCCATGAATGGTGATTCGATCGGTGCCCCTCCCCCTCCTGTTTTGTTAAAATCCCCTTCCGGTCCATGGATATTGATGTGGCCTTGGAGGTTCTGGCTCCCTGTCAGGGACCCCTGGTAACGGTGTCGGTATAGGTTTTGGTTGCTTTCCAATATACTGTATAATAATAATAATAATAATAATAATGTAATAATAATGTAATAATAATAATAATAATAATAATAATAACAACAAGTGCTAATGAAAATTGCTATATTGAATTTCTATTATGTTCAGGTTGTGCAATCTCTTGTATGTTTTCGTGAATTTGACTGTTAAATTTTATCGTATTTTAAACATTTTAAATTTGTATTCTGAATTGATTCTATATATATTTATACTGTATGATGTTTTTTATTGTAAATTCAACTATGTTTACTTAGTTGCTAAATAAATAAAGAATTTGAATTTGAGACTAAGGATGTCTACAAAGATATCGGGTCATGTCGAGGATAAATTCGATACCTCAAACTACGGAAAAGGTCATCCGTCTGGTATACCTACAGGTGTAAATAAAAAGGTTCTCGGGATGTTTAAAGATGAAGCTGGTGGACATATTATTATTTTGTATTGCCGGTCTAAGGAGTAAATTATACACGTTAAAAATGAATAGTTAAAAGGATGATAAAAAATGCAAGGGTATGAAAAAATCTGTTGTTAAAAATGAGATAACATTTGAAGATTATGAGGATTGTTTACTTGCTTTCGTTGAAGCAAGATTTATTGGTGAAAACCCGCCAGAGACTTATAGAAAAATGAATGTTATCAGGTCTCATGAACATGAATTATATACCGAGATGGTTAACAAGGTTTCTCTATCTGCAAACAACGATAAAAGGATCATTGCAGAGGATGGCATCCATACATTAGCTATAGGTCATCATTGAAAAAATTGAATTTTCGGTTTAAAAATTATAAAGAGATTAAAAGTGATGTCAATTGAGGAATTGGTTAAAGCCGCAGAAGAAGATATCTCCTATGAGGAGATGCTACGATCTATAGAAATTGAAAAAGTGGTAGAAGATAGAATAGATTCAAAGATTTAATCAAAAAATGTCTTGTTGACAAGTGTACCTATTTAATCAAGAACTTAATGGATCTTAATAACCACTTTAGATATAAATTGTAATATTAAACTGTATTCATGTAACTATTGTCCCTACAAGGGTAAAAGAAAATCTGATGTTACATCTCACCATAGAAATAAACACTATGGTAAACCATTAATTATAAACATGTGTCATGAATCTTTGGTTGCTCAAAATAAACTTTTAAGACAAACACTACCTATTGATCAACTATGCCTCAGTCTTTGAACAACAGACTTTATACCTTTTAAGGTAACAAGTCTCTTTGTACCAGTAGAGGTCATGTGAGGTCAAATTGAAATTAAGGTTTAAAAAATATAAAGAGATTAAAAATGGAACATTATATAACTTTTACAAAAAAACATATTTTAGGAGAGTCTCATGAAACAAGAGAACTCAGTAGACTTTAATGCAAAGTATTTTTTTACGGTTGAAAATAGTATAAGCCCTGAAAATATAAAAAATGTCGTTAAATATATATTTGAAGATGGGAAAGTGAATACTGGTAGACTTATAGCTATAATATGGCTTGGAGGTAAGGTTAAAGAATATTATCCTGAAGATATCAAAGATATATATAATATAGTTGTTACAGAGATATACAAACATAGACGGTGGATTGAAGGTGATGGTATCTGGTCACATGAGGCAAAAGTCCCCGTTAGCAGAAATGGTCCATATAGTGAGCTGTCTGGTAGTTGGGAGTGAGCTGTCAAATGGTCCAGAGGGAGCTGTTAGCAGCTCCATAAACTTAACTTAATTGGTTTTAAGAGTCCATTGGGAATTAACAAGAGAGTCCTGGCCAGCAACATATAGCCATTGGAATGTAAACAAGAAACCCATTACAATCACTCACTTCATCTCATGGGCTTCAGTGGCAATAAATAATTTAAGAACCCTTCGCTATTCAACAAACCAGCAGGACTATAACCCGGGTTTTTTCCAAAATCCAGGTGCCATGGACCAGTTCTGTTAATGGCCAGATATGCAGCATGCATATAATCCCCTAAAAAGATGAAACCTAAACACAGTACTTTTAAATGCATTGAACCTCTCAAGTCTGTTAATGCTGAAAAAAACAAGCTTGCTCAATTCAAATGTTTGACTCGCTCTTAAAACCACATGTGATTGCTGTTACCGAGACTTGGCTGAATTCGGATGTAGCAGATGTTGAAATGTTACATGACAGTTACACCATAAACTGTAGGGACAGAATTAATCGTCAGGATGGTGGGGTACTTTTAGCTGTTGATCACACGATTTCATCAATAGACGACAAGATCTTGAACCGAACATTAGTGAAATTTTGCTCCGGGAAATTCATCCACCATTCTTCAGGAAATTTGCAGTTGTGTTATGTAAATAATAATAAAATAATGTTTAATATTTTGTATCAAATTGACATTCACCTACCTCGTACTAGTCTATGTTCTGTTGAAACTTGAGGTTGATTTGCAGCAGCGTCATGGTCGTCTTTGTAGCCACGCCTTTTACACAATCGTTCCGCAACTTGTACAAGTCCCTGTTCTCTCAATGCGCTGAGCATGATTGGCATTTGGTTTGTTGATTGACCTTCTCTCCAAGTCACCAGACTTTCCATGATGCCATCTTTCAGTGTGTTGTTGTCTGCTATGACATTAATCTTGTTCCATTCAAGTCCAAGTCGCACTCCTAGCCTCCTCCAATCAGAGCCCAGATCTTCACAGATGAACAGCAGGTCTTGGTCATCAAGGGATGCTGGTTTAATGACGATATGAAAGAAATTAAAAGATTTAATTATGATTTCTGATAAAATAAGGAAACATTTAGAAAATCCAATCCATTATTTAAAAGCATCAACAAATAAGTTTTCACAGATCTGTTGACATTTTACTACAATAAAATAAGCTAATTTATAGTTACAACCGTACATGCTCCTATGAAAGTCAATCGATATAAACGGCAAACACACAACATAATATTATGTTGATAGACCTCGGCTGACCTTGGATATGAGCAAGTGCAGTTCCAACCATAAATTAACCTATTGTTCGCAGGCAATTTGAAGGTCTATACTAAGGAAATAGGAATTTTTCATGCTGCATTTTTGGCCGTTAACAGAACTGGTCCATGGCACCGGCTTTTGGAAAAAACCCGGGTTATAAATCCTGCTGGTTTGTTGAATAGCGATGGGTTCTTACATTATTTATTGCCACTGAAACCCATGAGATGAAGTGATTGTATTATGGGTTTCTTGTTTACATTCCAATGGCTATATGTTGCTGGCCAGGACTCTCTTGTTAACTCCCAATGGACATTCATTAAAACCAATTAAAGTTAAGTTATGGAGCTGCTAACAGCTCTCTCTGGACCATTTGACAGCTCACTCTCAACTATCAGACAGCTCAATATGGACCATTTCTGCTAACGGGGACTTTTGCCTCATGTTTTCACCAACCTCCTACTAGTCTATGTTCTGTTGAAACTTGAGGTTGATTTGCAGCAGCGTCATGGTCGTCTTTGTAGCCACGCCTTTTACACAATCGTTCCGCAAGTTGAACAAGTCCCTGTTCTCTCAATGCGTTGAGCATGATTGATATTTGGTTTGTTGATTGACCATCTCTCCAAGTCACCAGGGTTTCCATGACGCCATCTTTCTGTGTGTTGTTGTCTGCTATGACATTAATTTTGTTCCATTCAAGTCCAAGTCGCACTCCTAATCTCCTCCAATCAGAGGGCAGACCTTCACAGATGAACAGCAGGTCTTTGTCGTCAAGGGATGCTGGTTGATCAATAAGGAAATGAAAGAAATTGGATTTATTAATGGTAAATCCAAGTCACTATTTAAAAGTATCAACAAATAGGTTTTCAGACCTAATGAAGATTTACTACAATAATCTGTAAATCCATTAGCAGGCATTTAAAGTTATATGCTAAAGAATTATTTTGTTATTAATACTTTGCCACGGAAACCTTCCACAAATGTAAAGAATGTAGGAATGTTTTTTTGGATTTTTTTATTTTTTTTTGGATTTGATTTATTCTGTGTAAACACCAAGGATAGCCCACGAAAGTCTGGCAGAAGACTTATTTCCAGTGGGGTCCTACTGGAGGTGATTGGGCAGTACACCGGGAGACAATCCTATCCTCTTTTCCGAATAGTGTACTGCGTTCTTTAACGTGCAAATGGGCCATAATGAACACGGAACCAACAACTTAAACGTCTCATCCTAAAGACGGTGCGCTTTTGTAACTTGTATTTCAGCCCTCTAGCTGAAACACAAGGAGAGGCAGCGATGGGAATTGAACCAGGGACCTAGAGATCTCCACGGTTCAGCGCACACAAAGCGGCTACCATCAGATTAGGACTCAGCTAAGCTGCTCTCTCTGTTATATGCAGCACACTAATTACCTGGCCAGAAAATGTTTTCCTCATTTTAATTAAAGCTAAAAATACGGTTTTTTTGTCATTGTCCATATTGTGATATGCTGTGACTGACTGTATTTTAGATAATGTTAATTAAATGAATATTTTATCATGAATAGTGCATTACTAACCATCGTGTTCATGGTGTGTTGTGGGTAATCTGCCACTGGTATCTTCACCTGCATTTACATTGGACTCTTTAACCTCTGACATTTGAGAGCCAAAAATTTTGTTAGCAAGCTCTGTGAGTCCTTGCTCCTTCAAAGCTCTGCACATTATCTCAACTTGATTTGTCTCGTAGTTCTGTTGTTTCCTCCATTCTGTAAGCATATCCATTATGGAGTCGAACAATTGTCTGTTGTCACTCCATATTTGTTGGATCCTGTTCCAACTGAGACCCAGCCTGACACCTAGTTGTTTACATTCCCGTCCCATGTCTTTGGCGATAAGAGCCAGGTGCTTATCTTCCAGATAACCAAGATGTTCATCTAAAGTGAAAATTAAAGTAGACCAGATACAATAAAACAATTGGAATAATAATATTACTGTAATAAAAATAATATAATATTTATAATAAATCAATAAATTTAATAATAATTATAATAATAATAATAATAAATGCTGTAGGAGTATATCTCTTTTTAAAATCTAGATAATTTCATGAAACACAAAATAGTGTATAGGTGTAATTTTGCCCTACCTGACGTAGAAATGTACCGAATACTCAGTACATTTGAAAACAACTGCGAAAAAAAATCGCAAGTTGGACTCGAATTCAACCCTGGCCATCAGGCGCAAGCTTGGTGGTCTAGAGGTATCATGCAGTGATCTGGAGATCGTGGGTTCGAGTCCCACCCAAGAATAACTTGCGATTTTTTTCGCAGTTGTTTTCAAATGTACCGAGTATTCGGTACATTTCCACGTCAGGTAGGGCAAAATTACACCTATACATGTTTCTCCTGACGCAAATCCAGTTATTGTCTATTATTCCATCATGACAATAACAATTACTAACAAAATACTGTAGTAATAACACATTGTTCGTTCACTTTTAAACAAGCAAATTTCCACGACAATTCCAAGACATTCCAGGTCAAATTTTAAAAATTTCAAGGACACACTAAATCGCTAAACAGTAAAATATTGGCGATTTCACGATTGATTTTAAAACATGTATGCTCATTTTAAATGCATGTTAGTTGAGTATATATGAAGTTTTATCTAACTCTACATCAGAGGTGATGGACCTATCTCTTTTTCTCACCCTCATGGGAAATTATGTTTTTGTCAAACGTGTAAAAATTTGTTGGTAAGCAAATGAATTCATTCCCACAAGTATAGAAAAGTAAAGGTAAATTATTAGGCAGAGAGGTTCACCTACAATTGAACTGGAGTAAAATACTCTGATAGGTAACACAAATGTAAATGTACAACAGTCTTATCTTATCCCTTAAACGTGTCAGTGCCTTTTGTGGCACCGACACCAAAATAACTCAGTGGTGCTGCGGGGTGGATTACACGCCTGTCCAGGGTTGTTGTTCAGCGAATGTTAATTGTCTCAGCTGTGGTGAAGTTGACATAATATGGATATATAGTAAACAAAATAGTCTTCTTCGATGAGTGTACGTTGGGGACGTTAAATTATTTTACTTCATATATTTAGGTGTTTATACATGTTTAAACTTGTACCAACTAATGATGTACTGTATTATTAATTAATCTAATTAATGGTTATGCTCTAATAGTTCTCTACACATCATCATACTACTATATTATTATTTTTTATTATTCATACTACTGTATTGGGACTATAATTATTATTGATATTAGGTCTATTATTATTAGGCTTTAGTTGTTAATTGTATTTGGACATTTATAATGCTGTAGGCATACATAAACTTTTATAATCTACTATACAGCAAATGTTAACGTAAAACAGGGTTCTCACCATCCTACCAGCACTGATAGGCTGCCAACCGGCATTGTTTTATCAATGATTTTGTAAATTTCAGAAACATAATTAACGAAATACATTGCTCTAAAATCAAGGACTTTTAAATATAAATGCCTTTAAACACAAACGCCATATGGTGTAAGAAAATAACTGTAGAAGTACACGTTCCCATGGTTACGTTAATTGTTACTTAACTGCCTGGCACTTGCACTGGATAGGGCCAAAACATGTTTATTGGTCCAAGTGTGCACCTCTAGTGATGAATTACCCAAAGCCATTTACAGGGCTGAGCATGAGTGACATGACATGTTGAACTGAAGTTTAAGTTTAATATTACTGTTTATAAGACACAACAGAAAGCAAATAAAAACACCATAGCAGATATCAACAAAGTTAATAATTCCATCAATGTCTTAATTAAAATTACATGCAAACATATCAGTATACAAGACTATTAAGAAAGCACCGCTTTACTAAAATAGAGGCGAACAACTCCATTCACTGAATCGCAGAAGTTTGTCTGAACCACTGCCACATTCAGCATTTGACATTCTTTCTGTCTTCGATAACATTCCTGGATTGGCGGTGTACAAAGACTTGACACGCTTTTCCAATAGTATCATGGGAGCCTACTCGGCCTACCGTTACTAGGCAACCTGCAGTACTGGATGGTAAATGGTCGAATTTCCAGGACATACAAAGACAATCATAATTTCCAGGACTAGCTTTCCAGTACTGGAAAATGCTCATTTGTTTTTCAGGACATTCAAGGAATTTAAGGACGCGTACGAACCCTGATAACATCTAAAACACTAACCTGGTGGCGCTGTTTCAGTAACACTGGAACCTGCTAATTGCATTGGAGAATCTACAACAAATAAATTGTTAAAACCATAAATAAAAAATCAAATTATTAAAACTGACTGCTGTCTATCACCATCAAATATTGGATCAGGATCAAATCAGTTTATATAAATCAATGGTGTATTTATACTATATCACAGGTGGGCATGGGTCAAATACTGCCTACAATTTTCTTGTTGCCCTCGAAAATAATATTAAAAAGCTATGTTTGCAGCCAACCCTCTTTGGCTAAAAAACCCTGTGTTGGAATGGACCGATAACAATAACCTGAAAAGTAATAATAAAATGGAACCCCTCTGGAAATAAATCTGTTTTAGGATTTTGAGGGTTATCCCTGAAATCATAACTTTATGATATCAAATAAAATCAAATCAAAACTGAGCATAAAGATAAAAGCAGTAAATGAATGTAAATTCACTTTGGCCCTCTGACAATTTTTATTTCCATCTCTTATTACTGGATAATGCTTTCCCCTCCTTGCTTTGCACTGAGGAGTACCAATCCAGATTCAGTAATGAAACAATGATTTCCAAGGAGTAATTTGAAAATTTGAAAATGTAAATTATAAATTATCATTAAAAGAAAAATATGACAAAATTGAATAAAATATGTTTTAACCCTCTCAATAATTGTATGGTACAGCGGCACATCTTAGAAAGATAAGAAAGATCTAGACCATGTAGTCAAGATCGCCTCTCGTATTAACTGTATTGACTAGCATTCAATCAACAAGATCTATCAAGACAGATTATTATTATTATTATTATTATTATTATTAAATAAAGAAGAAATAATTGTGATACAAATCTTTTACAAAAAATAATTATGTTAACAAACTTTGCTTTTACCAATTCATTATTCTGATGTTCCAAGAAAAACGATAAAAGGAAGATGATTATTATTATTATCATTATTATTATTATTATTATAGGTGTGCACACGGTATGTGTTGTATATTGTTTTTGATTGATAAATCGGTCCATTTTCATGGGGTAGTTTCATAGTGCGTGACAGTAACAAGCTCGGTGTAATCAAGAATGTTTTAATTAAACAAATTTATAAAACAAAACAAAAAACAAATAAGAAACCCTCATGGTATATTTTAGAGTCAAATCTAAATAAACCTAACAAATTATATTTTATTCTCTACAAATTTTCTCCGTAATTAAATTAGCAATGTCATGTTTTAAAAAGCGTCTTGGGTTTAAAGAATGAATGAGGTGCATTTGAAATTTACACCGACGAATCTAACGAATTTGAATTAGACGTCTAATTTGCTTCGTGTGAGTTCCGTCTTTATTGCAGGTTGATTCCAAATGGTTTTTAAGGATTAAAAGCAAGAATATACACTTATTAAAACATTGGAATGCGTAAATTTCACTTCATAATTAACCAAGAAAACGTCTACTGATGTGTCGTGTTAATCAACAGATAATCTCCATGGCAATGCGAGTATAGCTAAGCCTCTCGTTTTCACAGCGTCTGGTATGCTTGTCGTTAAACGATGTCTATTAAACCAGGGAGTTGTTATCCTGATTAAACTATAGTCTGGTTTTTCGAGTGAGTGTTACCATCCTGAATTGGACAAATCGTCCGAGATTTGGAATAGGGAGTTCATGTTTTCGGAAAGTATTTTATTAAAAGAAGAATAGGATTGAGTTTGGGACTTAAGAAAATGATCGGTTTTGCGTGAAATTCGACTTTGTGGGCATTGAGTACACATAGTATTGTTCTATGTTAATATTTTTTTTTTTCGAAATGTGCAAGTCAAAATCTGTATAACTCGAACTTTTTATGCCAGTCCCATTAGATTCAACTTAGGCGAACTCGACCGTAATTTGAAAACATGACTTGCTTACTAATATTATCATAAAATAATATCATCCCCATCATCACTGTCATCATAACCATAGCCACAGCCACCATCATTATCATCATCAATATTTTATAAAATTAATATTACAACATTTAAAAGAAAGCAAATAATGGTATTAGCATAATTTTCCAGTGCAACAAAACTTTGGTGATATAAAATAACAAAGCAGGTACATGGGATTGATGATGACCCACAAGGAGTAAACATCTGTGATGTACAATGAGCTTGATTGCAAGACATTATTTACAGCGGATAATAATAAATTATTATCCAATTAATATAAGCAGGAAATAAAATTACATTGACCTACAGGTAATAAACAATAACATGAATAATTAAATTGTATTAACTGCTCACCTTGCAGAAGTTGCAAGACTTCTTCCTTGGGTTTTTCTCTATTTGTAAAACCATACCTCCAACATGTATTATTTATATAGAGATCACGTGGCGTCTGATTGGCCTGTAAAAATAATAACACATAAAACTTAAAACAAATCAATATCGATCATTCTACTTTAAAAAATACTTCATAGAAAGTATCACGCAAAAATAATCACAAGAAGTATCATAAAAGAAATATTATATGTACATATCAGTGCAATTTTCTTTTATATCTTGCAAAGATTCAATCATAAGTATTGATTATAAGACCATTCCCTTAACAACACAATCGCTTGTTATGCTAATATTACTGTACCGGTGGTCTTCAGAATCTTTGTCAATCAATCAAGCAGCAACAACAGCTAT